TTTCAAAAAATAAATAAATATATAACTCTTAAATAAGCAAACTAATTTTAAACATTAAGTTTTTGAAAATCCTATATAAATAACTAACTAACTAACTAATTTTAAACATTAAGTTTTTGAAAATCCTATATAAATCTTATATAGAGCCTGATATGCATAATAATATTAAATTAATGCAAAACTATCTCAAGACTATAGAAATTATTCAAAGACTTGAAATGCGACCTACATTTAAATCAAAATAATTTAATGCGATGATAAATGATGCATGAATGATGATAATAACAGATTTGTATTTAAAATTCAATTTCAGATGGTATGGCTCAATTTCAGATGAAAAGGTAAGGTTACTCATTAATGTATGTAAAATATGCTCCAAGCTCTCTCTCTCTCTCTTTCTTTATCTCTCTCTCTCTTTCCCTCTCTCTCTCTCTCTCTCTATCTGTAACAACAAATATACTCAACTGTACCAAACAGATTTGCGACTCAGTCTTATCTACTGTTGAATGACATGCACTGACGATCGAGCAACTTGATAATTTGGCTAACTGTTAATTAAAAATATTGGCCATAATCACCGTCAAAGCAACGGTATTGAGCAGCACCCGGGATATATTCAATCATTAGCGACATGTCAAAGAGTCTTTGCTCACGGCAGAGTCAGGTTCGATGTGTCGATATATGTATGTGTGTATACACATGTGTAACCTATATGCATACATATACATATGTATACAGTACAGTTATTTATGTGGTGCATATTCATGCGTTACTTAAAATGCAGCATATATGGGCTATAGACTTCCATATGCAACGCCCCGATGGTGCGAGCCCCGCTATTTGATTGGTCAGAGCACCCACACACACACACACATATGTATGTATGCATTTCGATGTGTGTGTGTATGTATGCCAGGCGTATACAAAGTGCAAAAAATCATGCAGCATCCAAAAAAATGGTTTGTATTGCGAAAAAAATGCAATTTCCATACCCTGTAATGTGTGAGAAGGGCATGACGAACTGAAGACTCTATAGAAGTTAATGAGAGAAGAGTAGCTAACGTCTATATAAGTATGATGGATCTTGGATATATTGTATATTATGTATAATTAAGAACAATCAATGGGTTATCGATAAATGCAAATGATCGATATATGGACAGGTAGGTATCGAGTTGTAGTCAAATTGGAAGTTCTATCTTCAGTGTGATATGGATTATATACTTATTTTATATTATATATATATAGTCTAGAGAAAAGAATGAGTTATCGATAAATACATATGATCGATGTATGGCCAAGTAGCTAGGTAAAGTATTCCAAGTTGTTCTACTATAAGTCTGATATGGATTATAAATTAATTTTACATTATATATAATACTTATAGAGCGAGTAATGAGTTATCGATAAACGTAAATTATCGATGTACGTAGTACGACAGTGCAGTCTAGGGCATGTCGAAAGTTGTTTCT